TCTGTTGGATCACCTTTCTTTGGAATGGGCAAAATTATGGATCTCTTCCAGTGGATTGGCCAGATAGCTGTCTTCCAAATTTTTTTCAGTAGTCAAGTGAGCACTTCAGAGTTACATCCATTTGTTGAAACATCGTAATTGGTATTCCACCAATTCCTGACCCTTTGTTTGTCACCAATTCTTAGTACAACTTGGACTTGTTCCTTCAGTATGATTGATTCTTGATCATATGGTACCTCCTCAAAAGGTTGAACATCGACCAATTCTTTATAGTACATTGACTGTGTGTGTATTCCTTCCATCTTTTGATATTTCCTGCATCATTCTTAGTTTGCCCTTAAAAAACAAACACATTGCCATCTAATCTGTTTCTAGCAACTCTGCAGAGAAGAACTACCCTATATTGTTTACTGGGCTATAATCTTTATGGCCACCACTTATCTGTCAGTTTGTCATACTGTGGTGGTTTGTGTATTGCTGTGATTCTGGAAGCTGTGCCATTGGTATTTTAACAGAAAAAGGGAACACTAAATGGTTTAAAATATGGAAAGGTATATGCCAGGGTTGTATTCTTTCACCATACATATTCAATCTGTATGTTGAACAAATAATCAGAGAAGCTGGAATATATGAAGGAAAACATGGCATCAGGATTGGAGGAAGACTCATTAACAACCTGCAATATGTAGATGATACGACCTTGCTTGCTGAAAGCCAAGAGGACTTAATATACTTATTGATGAAGATCAAAGACCACAGCCTTCGGTATGGGTTGCACCTCAATGTAAAGAAAACAAAAATCATCACCACTGGACCAATAAATAACATCTATATAAATGGAAAAAAGATTGAAGTTGTTAATGACCATTTTGCTTGAATCAACCAGCAACACCCATGGAAGCAGCAGTCAAGAAATCAAATGACATATTGCATTGGGCAAATCTGCTGCACAAGACCCTTTAAAGTGTTGAAGAGCAAAGATGTTAGTTTGAGGACCAAGGTGCACTTGACCCAAGCCATGGTATTTTCAATAACCTTATACACATGCAAAAGTTGGATAATGAATAAGGAAGTTGGATAAATAAGGAAGGCCATAAAAATTGATGCATTTGAGTTATGGTGTTGGAGGAGAATATTGAAAGCACCATGGACTGCCAAAAGAACAAACAGATCTGTGTTGGAAGAAATACAACCAGAGTGCTCCTTGGAAGTCAGAATGGCCAGACTTAGTCTTTCATACTTCGGACATATTATCAGGAGGGGCAGGTTCCTGGAGAAGGACATCATGTTTGGTAAAGTGGAAGGTTAGTGAAAAAGAGGAAGACCCCCAATGAGATGGATTGGCACAGTGGCCACATCAGTATGCTCAAACGTAGCAATGACTGTGAGGTTGGCCCATGTTTGGACAGTATTTCATTTTGTTGTGCATAGAGTCATTATGAGTGGGTACCAACTCATAACAACAGCAATCTTTATGGAAACAGACTACCACATCTTAATGCCACAGAACAACTGGTTCGTAGTTTGGAAATGCCAGACTTTTGGTTAGCAGTTGAGCACTTAACCAGTGTACCACCAGGAATTCTTATCTTGCACATGGTACTGTTGTTGTTACGTGCCGACCTCATGGTTAGCAGTCCAGTGCTTATTTTAGTGTCACACCAGACTCCATTTTGCCCATTTTTACTGTTAAGTGCCATTGAGTCAGTTACGACTCCTAGCGACCCTGTGTAGGGTTTCCTAGGAGCAGCTCTTGGGTTTGCTCACCTTGTAGTTCACAGTCCAGTGCTGATCCTACATCAGCACACCAGGAGTCCCCATTTTGCCTATAGAATCCTTCAATATGTCGAGTCAAGGCCTGAATTTTTTTATTCAGTTCTTTCACTTTGAGAAATGCTTAAACATGTTCTTTCCTTTTGGTTTTCTAAATCCCAAGTCTTTGCACAATTCATTGTAATTATTTGTCTTCTCTAGTTACCCTTTAATTTTTATGTTTGGCTCATTTACTTATCATTTCTTCCTTTTGTTTAGCTACTCTATATTCAAGAGCAAGCTTCAGAGTCTCTTCTAACTTTTATTTTGTTTATCTTTTTCTTTCCTGTCTTTTTAATGACCTTTTATTGTCTTCATATATAATGTCCTTGATGTCATCCCACAACTTCTTTGGTCTTTGATCATTAATGTTCAGTGTGTCAAATATGTTTGTTTGTTTTTTTAACAACAACAATCCTTATAGAGCATATTGACCCATGCAAGCTAGGTTTTTTTGTTTTTTAAGTTTTTATTCTGAATTATATGATAGTTTACATGGGAAAACACTAGCTCCACATCCATCCCATCCACATTCATCTCTTTGCAATGATTACAATCCCCTCCATGCATCATCAAACAACCGAAGGGTACACCCCGTAAGCCTGCCCCCCGGCCATCAGCACACAGACCCTCTCCCTCCCTGAGTCCTCAAATATGTTCTTTAGATGGTCTCTAAACTCAGGTGGAATATACTGTAGGTCATACTTTGCCTCCTGTAGACATATTTAATTGTCTTTAGTGTCAGTTCGAACTCACATTTGAATAATTGATTGTCTGTAACAATTCGGCTCCTGGCCTTGTTCTGATGAATGATGTTGAGCTTCTCCATCATCTCTTTTCACCGATACAGTCGATTTGATTCTTGTGTATTCCATCTAGTGAGGTTCACATATATAGTTGCCATTTATGTTGTTGAAAAAAGGTATTTCTAATGATTAAATTGGAGTCCTGGTGTGGCGCTTGTGGGTTAATGCACCAGACTGCAAAGCCATTTGAACTGCAAGGTCGGCGGTTCAAGCTCACCAGCTGCTCCTCGGAAACCCTATACAGGGTCACTATGGGTCGGAACCGACTCTATGGCACTTAACAACAACAACAATAAATGATTAAATTATTGATGTTACAGTTTACTTTGGATTTTTTCCTCCTTTTATCAGATGTTTCCTCTAGTAGTTGTATATTGAGAGATTCATCTTCAAGCTCAGTAATTTAGCCTGCCATTATGCAGTTCTACTTCTTTGTCCTTTCAATGTACATTTCTGAAATCTTAGTCTATCAGTCTCCCGGCTTTCTAATTGTTATTTTTGTATGGTTTCCAATTTTTCATTCCTTGTGTCAATTTGTTCCTGTCGTGTTTTCTTAAATTATTCTAATTTTTTTAATCTGTTGAAGGCACCTAAATATCATTCTTTCTAATTCCAAATCAAGTAGTTCTGGAACCATTTCTAGTATTATATTTTCTGACTCTGCATTTTGGTCACTTCTTTGAGGCACTCTGTCTTGTTTCTTTGTGTAAACTGAAATTGTCTGTTTCTCCAAGACATTGTGGCATCGTATTTATATTTAGTTGATAATTGTATATTGTGTTCTAAGGCACTTACTGGACTCCTGGTGTGATGCTATAAGATCAGCACTGGATTCTGAACCAAAAGGTCTGCAGTTCAAACCTACCAGTCACTCCTTGGAAACCCTGTACAGAGTCACTATGAGTTGGAACCAACTCGACAGCACGTAACAACAACAAGGCACTCACTATCTGTGCCCTGGTAGATGTGATAGAGACTGGAATTGTAAATGCAGTTCTCTAATGGCTGTTTGTGAATAGTAGTTCAGGACAGGTTCACACACCTCCAGAAGCAGAGGGTGGTAAGCCCAGCTCCCGACCCAGGGCAGAGCCAAAGTTGAGCAGGAGGGGATATCACTGTCCTTTGGCTTGGTGAGGGCAGGAATTAGACATGCCCCCAGCTACCAGAAGGGCACAGAATAAGGGAGAACTATACCCCCCCACTTGCTACCAACCTCTAGCCACGTACTGTGCCTGTTGGCCACTGTATTGACAATCATTTGCAAAAGTTCAAGGTAGTTGCACCTCTGCACACCAGCTGACAACTCACCTGTTTGTCTTCTCTTTTGCTACTCCTGTTCAGCTACCTCTTCCATTCAGCACTTAGCCCACCTCTCTGTTCTATCCTCAGAAGCTCAGGGTTCCAGGGTCATCATCTGTATCAGTTCCACCTCGTCACTGTAGCACATGGTCTGCTCCGTGTGTCTGCCTACGCTACCATCTCATAGAACAAAGTAGTTCTAGAAGGAATTTTTGTTTCTTATCTTTTACTGCTCATTTTCTTTTAACTTTAGTACAGTGTAGTATTTTCTGAAGAATGATCTAAGAACTCTGGAAACAAGACTCTAGTCTCATACTCTGCTTGTGACCTGGGACAGGTTTCTTTTCTCTGCTGAGGAAACTTTTTTCATTTATAAAATAGTAGGGAGATCCCCAAATGGTCCCAAGATGGCTATATTAGAAACACCTTTGAAGTCCTATTTAGAATTTGGATTTCTATGTCCTACCCACAGATTCTGATTCTGTTGTTTAGTGCTGTCAAATTGGTTCCAACTCATAGCAACCCTGTATAGGGTTTCCAAGTAGTGGATGGTGGGTATGAACTGCTGCCCTTGAGGCTCACCAGTGCCACACCAGGACTCCTGGGTAAGGTCTAGGAAGCTGTATTTCTTTTAGCGCCACAGGTTATTCAAGTGCATTGCCATCTTTGAGATGATTGTAAGTCATTCCTGAGGTCCTTTTAACTGTAAAATGCAGTGATTATTTGGAAAGCATATTTTCCTAAATATCTTTTATGAGATTATTTTCTTGAAGGTTTTTAATAGATGAAAAATAATTAAGATTAATTCATTTGAGGCCTGTACACACATAAACTTTTACATAAATTTAATTTGCTATAATGTGGTTAGTTTATGGTTTGGAGGGATAATCCTAATCCCCAATACAATGACAGAAGGTTGGTTTCCTTTTCACCAGTATATATTTCACAGCGCCTTTATTTTCAGTCTCAGATCTAGAAAAGAATTAAATAGTTGATATCCTGATTTCTACATAACCATAAAGTAGATTAGATTAGAAATTCTATCTGGTTGTTAATTTCTGTTTGTTTGTTTTTAATTTACAGAATGCTCTTTTCAGTTGCATTAACAGAAATGAAAGTAAGTATATTGTTGATGGTTATACAAGCAATTCAAAGAGAAAAACATCGTTTACAGAACATCATTTAGCTGTCATAGATATTGCCAGGATCCCGGCATTAAACACCATATCTGAATGAGTTGCACAGCAGAGTTCTGAGTGTCTCTTATTTCTGGGGTGTTCAAGCCACTCGTGTATTATAATCATTCCCATGTTCTAAGTGTAGATCTACAATCAGGTACCAGAGCTAGATATGCTAGAGGAATCTTACATCTCACTTGAATAAATAGGATCACTTTCAGACCTTAAGTATATCTGCATTATATAATGTAGCACTTGATAAGGGCTTACTCTCTGTTTATTCTGAAAGCATCTGTTGAGTGCTTAGCTTGATCCGTGTGCAATAAATCCAGATCTATGGGGATGTAACTTTTTTACACAAAGGACTCTAGCACTTGGTAGAAAAAAATCACTTGACACTGATAAAATGCTATAAAGAGTTCAGCAGAAGGAAGAATTACATCCTGCAGAAATATTAATAAGTACCTTCATAGAATTAGTATCTCACCTAATCTAAGCTCATCTTGAAAGATGAACAAAATGTAAGCAGTGGAGATTGGAGGAGGGGCATTCCAGGTGAAGAGAGTAGTCTGAGCAGTTAGAGGTGAAAACGTAGCTGAGGAATAAAAGGCAGTCCTGACTAGCCCGACAGTACAGTGTATCAAAGGATAATAAGAAACTTTCACTGTTTATACTTTATCCTCTATCCTTCCTAACTGGAGCTTAGTTCAAGAGTTCCCATATGGTCTCTTGTACCTACTCCTATATCCTCCCACATTGCTGAGGAAGACAGCCTAACGGGGGAGCCAAAAGATGGGCATCTTTGTCCTATTCTTACTTGTCTCTTCTGTCCTGTTATCCCCACCACCACCAATAGCATTGAGTTTTACAATGGTAAATATAGACAGTAACAATTGTTCTTTGGGATGAAAACGGCCTTTTCAGCAATAAGCACAAGAAGTTTGATAGTGATTACAAGTAACAGCTTAGGTGATCTAATAGGTATACAAGCATCCTGACTCAGGAAACTTGAGACCTGTCCTATATCAGTTTAGTCTAATTATTTGTTTATGATTATTTTTATCATTATTTCTAGAGTTCACATGAATTCTCTGGTCATCAGCCTGTGGAATTTACCAGAAGTCTGATTCTAGTTCCTCCATATCCATCTCTAATAATTATCAGAGATTTCTTGACTTCCTCTTAACCTCTTCCTGCCACACAGTTGACTCCCTTCAGCTTTCCACAGACCCATCAGCCCCCTTTTATTTTATTTTATTTGTTTATTTTTAAGGTAAATACATAGGTAAGAAAACATTTGCCACGCTACAATCTTCACATGTACAATTCAGTAACATTGATTTCAGGCCCACTTTTAAGGGTCTCTTTCTCTGCTCCATTATAAATACTGCATCGGCACTCCTAGCTACTTATCCAGCTCTCCAGAGAGACCTGAATTGCTCTTCCCTGATTTCTTTAAAATATATAAATGCAGACCCTATTCATTTAAATTGTGGGTTTTACTTTTGTGTATTGAAGCTAGTCGTAAGTGTTGTGAGATCAAGACTTTATGCATATTCTTGGAGATGTTTTAACAGTATAGAACAATATATAAAGTTTTGGAGTTTTGTTTGAAGATACACAGTAATATAATTTCTGAAATGATTCTGATATCTCTTAGTTTTTGTTGTTGTTAAGTGCTGTTGAATCGGTTCCAACTCTTAGTGACCCTGTATAGGGTTTCTGAGGAGTGGCTGGTGAGTTTGAACTGCCAACCTTGCAGTCCAGTGCTTATCCTACAGTGCCATACCAGAACTCTCTATTTTCACGGGTACTATTTTACAAATCCAAGACCTCATTTTTTTTCATTGTTGTTGTTGTTATTAAGTACCATCAAGTCAGTTCCAACTCATAGCGACCCTTTATAGGGTTTCCAAGGAGCGGCTGGTGAGCTTAAACCACCAGCCTTGAGGTTCAAACCGACCTTGCAGTCCAGCGCAGTAACCCAGAGCGCCACACCACAAATCCAGTGTGGAAAGATGCTTGGTTCAGTAGTTCTCAACATGGACACTGTTGGCATTTTGGGAGTTTGGGTTGTGTTTGAGTGTCCCATGTGTTGCAGGATGTTTAACAGTCCTCATCCCTATGCAGTCCATGTTGGCTGTAGTCCTCATGACAATCAGGACTACTTCCACATGCAGCCTAACTCATCCAGGAGAGTGCTACTGTGCCTTTTTGACAACCCCTAGACTGTAGACGTTAAGTTGTCAGATGACTTTCTTATATCAGTGAGCACCTTAGTATCCCCATTGCTATGCCTCCAGTAACACTGTTTTCTATGGCATGGTCTTCTCAAATTCAAAAAGACACATTGTTCCATCATAAGCATGAAGATTTGATGTTGTGAAATAGCAGTTTCCATCTCTGTGTCCTCTTTCTTTCCCCTGACAGTGGGCTCAGTTTGCTGCAGTTATGCAGGTCATCACACAAACTGCCGAGAGTACTGTCAAGCCATTTTCCGAACAGACTCTTCTCCTGGTCCATCTCAGATCAAAGCAGTGGAAAACTATTGTGCCTCTATTAGTCCACAACTAATCCACTGTGTGAACAATTACACCCAGTCCTATCCAATGAAGAACCCAACAGATAGTAAGTAAGAGGGATAAATCCCTCTCTTTTCAATCTTTGTTGAACAGAGTACACACACAAAAAAAGTTCTTGTAGACATGTGTCATCTGAGTCACTTGAAACACATTCTTTGGAATTTAGATTTGGGAGATTTGATAGAGTCACAGCTAAAAGGTGCCAGAGATGACTAGAGCTACTGAGGGTGTGAGAAAATGGGCGCTCTCTAATGTTGAAGTTGAGATTAATTGGTACAGAATTTTAAAGGGAAATTGGATAATAGTTATTAAAATTTTAAATAATCATACTTTTTGATTTTGTACTTTCCATTGTCCTATAAGAAAACGTATATGTTTACAAAACTATATTGTAGATATGCATATGAAGGATGTTTACTATTTTTGTCATGAAAATATAAAAATGAGAATCCAGAGAAACAAAAAGCCTGATACTTTCTTTGATCAGGATGCCTAAACTTGAACCTTAAGGGATTCTTCAAAGTGTCAGCTTTATGAGCCCTAGAATCCCTTTTCATCCCCTAGCAATAACCTAACTTTTTAAAAAGCTGATTAATTAATCAAACTGACAAAAGACAGGCATTAGCTAGGTGCCAATATACTGATTTTGATTGGGATATTAAAAGACTTGTTTTGTGAACTTAAAAGCACTGTGTGACTTGTTTGGCCATCATCTAAATCAGAACTCTTAAAGCGTTTGGCATTCTGTAATGTAGCTCTGGTGAAAATCAGAAGATGAAGCATTTGCCACAAATAACCTTCTTCACTCACTGTAAACATAGATCCGTCTTCCATGACACTTATGCTGCATAGAAATGCTACTGAAGCTAAGGAGCGAGTAAGCAGCTCAGAATAAGTAGAAAGATGTTGTATGGGCAGGAAAACAACCATCTCTAATGTCTGTGTTACATCAGAATCTAGAAAACAAATCTACAAACATGCAGGTGTGAATAGTTCTCTGAAAATGTAAAAGACACCTGAGAAAATTACTTCAAAGAAACTTCTGAAAGCTACAGTCTGGTCAAAAGTGTCCTTTCATGCTATGATTCTTGGTAGAAAATAAAAGGCAGAAATTCCATAGAAGTAAACTGATGTCTTGGCAGAGTATGATACTATTTTATATACAGTAAAACCTGCAAAAAACCAGAACCTGTGTAAGGCAGAAAGAGAAAACTCAAAATATTTTACTCTGTTGTTACTTGCTGCTGAGTCTAGTGTGACTCATAGCAACCCTATATAGGGTTTCCAAGGAGCAGCAGGTGGATTTGAGCCACCAACCTTGCAGTTAGTAGTCCACACCAGGACTCCATTTTCCTTTGTTAGAGGTTAAAAAAAAAAAAAGCCACTGCTGTTGAATCAGGTGATATAAAAGTGCTAAGAGCCGACCCTGTCAAAGGTGGAAAGCTTACATCTATCTACCTACCCACTGTCATTGAGTCGATTCTGACTCATAGCGGCCCTATCTAAGGGTTCCAAAACTAAATCTTTACAGGGGCAAACAGCCTGATCTTTCTCTTTTGGAGCCACTTATAGGTTTGAACTGCTGATCTTGTGGTTAGCAGTTCGGTGACCTGGAAAAACAGGCAGTCACATTGAATTCTGGCTCACACAGGTTTCACTATAATTACAATTGTGTTTCATTAGTTACCGTATAGAGATTTAGAAAGGTTTCATTCTGTCCTAGAACGTGATCAAATATGGTTGTTACTATAGAAATTTGTCATCTCTCTCATATCAAGAACATAATTCCTTTTAGACAGTTATTTGTTGCAGGAAGATAATTTCAATTTGAACTACAGTATCTTGTCCAAGTATGAAAAACACCTGGCATTCAGGGACTTCTTCAGTGTAGGATACCTTTGCATTTATATAGGGATAGTGTTAGAGGCCCTATGACTGGGGACAATGGTAAATTCTGGTAATAGACACTTTGTCTACCTTTAGCTCCTCACAGGTTTACTACACTGCAAAGTAGTGAAAGGAAAACTCGGTAGGCCCTATACACAAGGGGGCTTCAAAAAGTTTCAGAAATGGAATTAAAAGATAATGGGATTTCACTTTCTAACTTTTTGAAGCCCTGTCATACTGCAGATACTGACATCATGATTCAGAGTACTAATGGTTTCTGGTATGTTGGGATTTTGGTTTTAGTTTTGAGCAGTCTATAATAGAAACCGGGCTAATTAAGCCATTTATTTTCGGAATATGTAGGTTTATATTGCTGTGAGAGAGCTGAAGATCATGCCTGTCAAAATGCCTGCAAGAGAATTTTGATGTCTAAGAAAACAGAAATGGAGATTGTTGATGGCCTCATCGAGGGTTGTAAGAAGCAGCCCTTGCCTCAAGATCCACTTTGGCTCTGTTTCCTTCAGGGTTCACTGTCCCGTCACCCTGGAGTCACTGCACACCCTCCTCCCTCCACAGGCCTCGATGGGGCTAAATTGCACTGTTGTTCTAAAGCAAATACTTCAACATGTCGGTCAGTATCTCATTTTCCTTTGCTAATTGGGGATTTTAACAATATATGCTGTTTTCCTGCATTGTGTAGGCTAGGAGTTTGTTGGTATTGTTTGTAAGTGCCACCAAATAGGTTCTAAGTCATAGTGACCCTGTATAGATAGGGTTTCCAAGGCTGTAACTATTTGCAAGAGCGAAAGAATTCATCTGTCTCTTGGTGAGAGCTTAAGAACACACCAACATATAGTCATCAATTAAATACAAGTATAACAACCCCACAGTGTCCCAGAGGCAACAGACAATTTGCTCACACAAAGAAAGTAGAGAGAATGGCACAAATAAACAACCAAGATGCAGAACCAAGAAACATTTCTGAGAAAAAAAAGGTAATGGAAATAACTGAAAAGAAATCAAAAAATGATATTTAGGTACTCAAAGGATTGATAGACACATCAAAGAAAGCAAATAGAACACAGAAAACACTTTAGAAGAATTCAGGAACACTGCAGGAACAACCTGAAAAAATAAATACAAAGTTTAAAATAATACAAAACCTACATTTAGGAATCCAGAAGGTTAATACTAAGATCTCAGAAATGGACAATACTTTGAAATGGCACAGTAGTAGATTTAAAGCAATAGAAGTCTGAATTAGTAAGCTTAAAGATAAATCTCTCAGTACTAGCATACTAGAAGAACATTTTTTTTTAAATAATGAAAAAAATCTAAAGAAAGTCTAAAATGATGTGGGACGCCTGAATAGGAACAACTTACAGATAATCAGAATTCCAGAACAGAAAGAAACAATAAAAAGCACAGAGAAAATTGTTGAAGACAACTTCCCTAATATCGTGAAAGATGAGAAGATAGGCATTCAAGAAGCTGAACAAACCCCAAACAGGATAGATCCCAAAAGAAAATCACCAAGACATATCATAATCAAACTCTCCAAAACCAAAAACAAGGAAAGAACCCTGAGAGCAGCTTGGGAAAAACAAAAAGTTACCTACAAAGGAGAACCAATAAGAAACAAAAAATTGTCTCTCAGCAGAAACAATGTAGGCAAGAAGTCCATGAGATGACATATGCATAACTCTTAAAGAAAAAAATTGCCAACCCAAAAAAATCATATACCCAGAAAAGCTTTTCTTCAAATACAATGGTGAAATGAGAACATTTCCTAATAAGCAGAAATTAAGGAATTTGTAATGACCAGACCCGCTTTAGGAAAAAACACAAAAGGGCATTCTTTGGACTGAGAAAAACAGCAGACAACAACCTGAAATTAACATGCATGACAACACTACTCAGAACTCAATCCAGATATAGAAATATTTAAAGTAAAACAAACCTACAAGACTGAAAATAGAGAATCAGAGATATCAATTTATAATTAAGTCAACTACAAAACAAAAAGGGAATTATGTATATGCAAAACTAACAAAAGGCTAGGAAGTCAAGTAGATTTTAAGATACTACAGATGTTTAAATAGGGGAAAATAGTAATAAATTACAGGATAACCAAAGAAAATTAATATACCTGCACATCAAAATTATAAGAGGAAAATCAGGAACTTATAGTAAACATGAACACAACAGAAAGGAAAAGGAAAAGGAAACCCACAAACAAAAAACTCAGCAGAGAAAATTATGTGGAGCAAAGAAACCAGCAAAATTATTTCAGTCAGGGAGAAGGTCTTCCGGCACTT